TCTTCATTTCGGCGGGCGTGGGGTCGCCTCTGCTCTTCCACGCCTTGTGGTCGCGCACGATCTTGCGGAATGTCTCCTTGGAGGGCTTGTCTGTCCGAAGCTCGTCCAGGATCTCCTGGAAGCGTTCCTCCTTGCACCGCCAGGTCTCGGTTAGCTTCACGTGAAAGCAGCGCGGCCGCTTCCATGCGGCACTCTCCCAAGGACGTGTCGGCTCCACCCCAGGGAGCTGGTGCTTGTCTCCGAGGAAGACCAGCGCGGGGACTTTCCCCGAGACGCTCCAGAGCTTCAGGATGCGCTCGAAGCTTTCGCAACTCAGCAGCGATACCTCGTCAACCACCACCAAGTCGAAGTCCGTCATCCTGTGAAGACTCTCTGTGATTGGATCGTGCAGCTTGAATGCGGCGTGGCACGTGTCCACCGTTAGGCCCTCCAGGCCTTGCAGCGCGGCTCTCATGCGGCTGGACAGCTGCGCCGTCGGGAGGGCGAAGAGCACGCGCGCGCCTTGCTCCTGGGCGCGCCGAATGCAGGACTTTACCACGGTGGTCTTCCCCGTCCCAGGCTTCCCAAGGCAGATGACGGGCGTGTTCTTCTTGTGCGCTTCCTCGCGCGCCTCGTCCGCCTACTCCCAGTCCTCCGACAGCTCCGCCCGCACGGCACGGTCCACGCGCTCGTTGATCGCCTCCTCCAGCTGCAGCTGCTTCGGGTTGAAGTCGACCTCCTCCTGGCCCTCGCCGCGCGCTGGCCTGCGGTTGGCGATGACCGCGGCCTCGGCGTCGGCCGCGGCCTTCTTGTCGGCCTTGTCGATGATGCCCGTCAGGTACATGTTGATGAGCTTCCGCTGCCCCACGATCATGTGATGCACAGCCTCGGTGAACTTGCTGGACTTCGCGGAAGCGCTCATGTAGTCCACGAGCCGCCTGCCATCGGTGAACAAGTCATGGTGCTATTCAGCGACGCGGCCCTGGTCGGAGCACAGTCGCAGCGCCGCCGCGAGATTACTTGTATTCTGCGGAACAGGCGATTCACATCCTCGAACTCGAGCTCGTCGAGCGATCGGAACGGCACGTTCATTGCAGCCCACTGGCCGTAGTAGCGGTCGTTGAGCTCGTATACCGTGTCGACGCTGACCACCTTCTCGCCCTGCATGCGGTAGGCTCGCGCGAACTCTTTGAGGTTCGGAAAGTCGTCCTCGCCCTCGCTCATTTCGTCGCTGTGCTTCTTCGCGAGGAACTCCTCGAAGGTCTTCGGCTGCTCCTCGTCTTCGGCGTCGGAGTCTTTGTCACTGTTCCCGCTACCTCCGCCATCAGCATCGGCCATGCCTTTGTACTCAGCGCGCAGGAAGCGCCAGTGAGCGTCGAGCGCCTGAGGCTCCTCGCCCTCTGGCACGGTCGCGCGGTACCGCCTGTACAGGGCCAACACCAGCTCCTGCTTGTGCTTGCGCTTCAGCCATCCGGCGATGGCGCCGTCGTCAGTAGTCTTCCGAAGCCACTCCAAGAGCGTCATGCCCTCGTGGCGCCACGCGCAGTCAGCATACCTCTGGACCCAGTCGGGCACATCCGCCATGCCCGAGTAAGGCGCCGACACGGTGCGGAAGCCGCCGCTGACCGTAGAGATGTCGTACTGTCTGAATTGCGCTCCACACAGCTGCAGGATCATCTCTGGCTCGTAGGGGTGGTACTCGAAGCAGACGCGCCTGGCCACGCTGTCCGCGGAGGCCTTGTCGCTCATCCACTCGTCGTAGCTGCTGTCCGAGAACTTCGCCACATACTTGGAAACGTATTGCAGGAGCATGGCCTCCCCGTCGCTGGTCTGCCAGTCCTGATGGCAAGGGAGCCCGTCCATTACGTCAGCGCAGTACGCTCGGAGGCCCGCGTCGTGGTCCTCCTCGGTGTGCTTCAGCTGGAGGATACCATCGTCGCCGTGCACCCCCGACGGCCCATGGTAGATCGGCCACTTGCTCTCTGCATCGCCGTGCTTGTTGAACTGGGATCCGTCCACGTAACCCTTCAGGTCATCCGAGAAGCCATCGGGCTGTGTCGCGAAGAGGTGGTGCTCCAATCCCATGTTCGCCATGGAGTCGTCGTCCGCGAAGAAGAGGACGTGCAGGTGCGGCCGGCCGGAGCCGTCGTAGCGCTTCGTGCCCTCCTTGCGGCTCCCGTCCTGGAACTCCAGTCTCGTGAAACTCTGGACGCGAACCTGTCTGCCGTCGGCGTCCTTCGCGGACAGCACGTGCTTTGTCCAGCTGCGGCTGCTGCGGTCCATCATCTGGTAGTTATTGCCAGCCAGCATGCCTCGGACGATCTGCATGAGCACGTGCGACATGTGCAGCGTTTCGCCCACGGGGAGGTGCATGCGGGTCCGCAGTGTCTTCTCCATCTCATCGCGCAGCCAGTCGTGGTACTTGAAGCACGGCTCCCATGGCGCAATGGTGAAGAACAGCTTCGGGAAGCCCACCTGGCGCACGAGGTCGACAAGGGCATTGTGCACCTCCTTCCAGTAGAGCGGCGAGAAGGTATGACCCTTCATGAGCATCCGCATCGGCACGTTGTCGAGGCCCAGGTTCTTCTTTGCACCGAGCGTCGCCCAGAGGTTCAGGTCGTACACGAACTGGAGCAGCTCGAAGTTGGATCCGTACCCAAGCAACGGCGATAGGCATTTGGTCATGAAAGACCGCTTGACGCTGGTGCGGTGGCCTCCGCCGTCGCCGCCCTCGTCATCCTCGGCGTCCGAGTCGTAGCCGTACTTTGCCTTCTTCTTCTTGGCCTCCTGGGCGTCGCGCCTCTCCTCGCGCCTCGCGTCGGACCACTGCTCGTGAGTCTCCGTCATCTCGGTGCACCAGTACAGGTTTGGCCAGAGAGCGCACTCCAACCCGACCTCCTGCAGGAAATGATATGGGCGCTTGCGCTTCCTGTCGGCAGCGTCCTCGCCCTGCTTGCGGAGGAACTTCTCGTGCATGTCGTGGAACCGCTTGTACGTGGACTCTTCGCAAGACAGCAGGTATTTGTAAACCTTCTTCGCCGTCCGCCACGCGTCATCGTCCAGCTCCTTGATCTTGTCCTTGACGTGCCACTTCGAGAAATAGAACGTGATCATCTTCACCTTCTTGCGGTAGCCGTTCAGGCGGCCGAACGTGTCGGTGGAGCGCGTCTCGGGGCCGACGTCGATCTCGATGGGCCGGAGGGCTTCGACGATCTCCTCTGACAGGCCGCGGAGTGGCCCTGGTACGTCATCGGGCAGCGGGACGTACATCTCGCGAGAGGCGTTGCAGCGGCGACAGGCGCTCTTCGAGATCTCCTCGCTGGCGTCGAGGAACATATCGATCTCGTGCATGGGCCGCGGCTGCAAGACATGGCACTCCTTGCAGATGCCCCACGAGCCCTTGGCGGCCCAGGACCGCAGCCCCTTCGACAGATCACTGAAGCCTGCTTCGCCGATCGGCGGCTCCAAGTCTTTGCTCTTTGGGACCTCGTCGGCGCGACCGCGCATCTTTCGCTCGGCTGTGTCCTTGTAGAACGAGTTCTCGACCTTCTTCAAGTCCGCCAGGGTTAGCTTGCGGAACTTCTTCCGAGCTTCCTCGTCGAAGGTCGGGCTCTCCATCACCAGCCGCCGCTTCGCCAGCTTCGTCGGCCAGTCCGTCTCGCCAGTGCGCCTCCGAGCTTTTGCCGCCTGCTGGTTCTGCCGGACAGTCTTCTTCTTCATCTGCGCCACGTAGTTGTCCCCGAAGACGTCCTTCAGGATTGCCTCGGCCTTGGCAAATACGGCTTCGTCCTTCTCGTGGAATGCCTCTAGCTGCTTCAGCACGCCCCTGCGCTTCTCTGTCTGCATGCCACGGAGCCTCTGCGGATCGCACCAGCTGCACAAGTGCTTGTCGGCCTTCACCACGCGCGCGGGCTGCCCTGGGTTCGCCGTGCTGAAGGGGCACATGGCTTCCCCAGCGCCGCGGCAGCAATCTTTCGGCGTGACGATGACCTTGTACTCCTGCGGGGTGAGGTGCCTGCGCAGCCGCCCAAGAGCCTTCTGCATCAGCGCAGGGTTACGAGCTTCGAACTTCTTCAGGTCGGTCATGGCGTTCCTCTTCTTGGCGGGATTGCTTGCCGCCTCCTTCATGCGAGCAGGCGTGCACCAGATGCACTTCCCGTCGAGCGCCATGGCACACTGTCCAGGATGCTCTCGGGAGAACAGGCAGACGCCCTCGTCTTCCTTGCTGCGCAGTCTGCGGCCCATGGCGCGCGCCAGGCTGTATCCCTCGCAGAGGCGCTGGCGTCTGCGCCCAGCGGCCGCGCCCTCGCCTTCCGCGGGTACTGGCGGCGGCTCCGCTGCCGCTGCTGGCCCTGCTGCGGCTGCTTCCTCGTCGGGCTCCATGGCAGCAGGAATCTCCTCCTCGGCGGGCTGCGAGACCACGTTGCCCTGGTCACCCTCGATTGGCGGCGGTGGCGGCACGCCCACCTGCGAGCGCTCCGAGATTATGCCGACAGCGCGGGCAATGAGCTGATCGCCCCTCTCGTGCATCTTCACCCGCTCCACGGCCATGTCGTAGATGCCGATGTCAAGCTTGTGCAGGTTCGCCAGGCTGTGCGCGGTCAGCTTGGACTGCTGCGGCGTCGCGCAGATGGTTGCCATGCGAATGGGAGAGCACCACTGACACTTCCCCTCGAACTTGCCCTGCGCGCGCTTGCCCTTCTCCCACGGATTGAAGCAGCACTCGATGACGATCCCGTCGTCGGTCGCAAAGCCAGAGCAGCGCAGAGGGCCCATCGCCGCGAGAGTGCGCTGAAGGTGGATGCGAAGGCTGATGCCTGCCAACGATGGCTGCCAGGTGCGCGTGCCAAGCGGTGGCGAAATCAGGCTTGAGCCAAAGCGGCAACGGAACCAAAGACATCGCGACTGATGTTGCGGTGAGCAAAGGCAGATCCCAAGGCTGCTGCAACTGACACGCCCCTGCCGGCTGCATGCCCGACGCCTGCCGTTGAGAACTGCACCGCCCATGCATCGCTCCATCCATTTGAAACACTCCCTGCTCCGAAAGACTACTGCAGCACATCGCCAATACATATGTCTCTACTGTTCTCTGCGAAAGATGTGTGTTTCCTAAACCTGTGCGCGAGCAACTCGCCCCTGGCAACGCATGTTCATTTCAACAGTGTGCGAGGGGGAGCCAGACCCTCCCCCTCGCTCTCCCCCTTCCAACCTGCGAACACGTGCGCGTGTCATGCCATAAAACGCACTCTCCAACACTGCCCGTGCGTCGCCTCTCCTCTCCCGAGTCTGTGAATGGCCACAGCTGTGTGCAACTTCTCTTGCTGACACTGCATCGCCTAGGGCAGAACCCTGCGACGACCGAAACAACGCCAATGCCTTCGGAGTTTCCGCGACTCTGACATGCTCTACGAGACGCTGCTCTGGGACGCAAGTGCCCGCGGAATGCATCGCCGATGCGTCGCGGCCAGCCGCGCGACACACAAAACCTTTCACCGGGCTTCGGCACTCTCACGCGCATCCCCGATGCATCGGCGAGCTTCTGGACCACCGCGCCGGGGCGACCACGACCGCGAGAACGACTCTGTGTGCGAATACCCAACGCATCAGCTTAACCCTCAGAAGCTCATCAACGTGCGTGCGAGCGCAAAGGCTACAGCGAAGGCGCCGACTGTGGCGTCCTTCAAAGATAGCTCGGAGATAGCGCTCACGACCGCCCGCGGCACGCCTGGCGTGGGTTGCGGCCGCAGCGGGCGCAAAGGCTACAGCGGAGGCGCCGACTGTGGCGTCCTTCAAAGATAGCTCGGAGATTGCGCTCACGAGCGCCCGCGGCACGCCTGGCGCCGGCCGCGGCCGCAGCGGGCGCAAAGGCTACAGCGAAAGCGCCGACTGTGGCGTCCTCAAAGATAGCTCGGAGATAGCGCTCACGAGCGCCCGAGGCACGCCTGGCGTGGGCGGCGGCCGCAGCGGGCGCAAAGGCTACAGCGAAGGCGCCGACTGTGGCGTCCTTCAAAGATAGCTCGGAGATAGCGCTCACGAGCGCCCGAGGCACGCCTGGCGTGGGCGGCGGCCGCAGCGGGCGCAAAGGCTACAGCGAAGGCGCCGACTGTGGCGTCCTTCAAAGATAGCTCGGAGATAGCGCTCACGAGCGCCCGAGGCACGCCTGGCGTGGGCCGCGGCCGCAGCGGGCGCAAAGGCTACAGCGAAGGCGCCGACTGTGGCGTCCTTCAAAGATAGCTCGGAGATAGCGCTCACGAGCGCCCGAGGCACGCCTGGCGTGGGCGGCGGCCGCAGCGGGCGCAAAGGCTACAGCGAAGGCGCCGACTGTGGCGTCCTTCAAAGATAGCTCGGAGATAGCGCTCACGAGCGCCCGAGGCACGCCTGGCGTGGGCGGCGGCCGCAGCGGGCGCAAAGGCTACAGCGAAGGCGCCGACTGTGGCGTCCTTCAAAGATAGCTCGGAGATAGCGCTCACGAGCGCCCGAGGCACGCCTGGCGTGGGCGGCGGCCGCAGCGGGCGCAAAGGCTACAGCGAAGGCGCCGACTGTGGCGTCCTTCAAAGATAGCTCGGAGATAGCGCTGACGAGCGCCCGAGGCACGCCTGGCGTGGGTTGCGGCCGCAGCGGGCGCAGAAGGCTACAGCGAAGGCGCCGACTGTGGCGTCCTTCAAAGATAGCTCGGAGATAGCGCTCACGAGCGCCCGAGGCACGCCTGGCGTGGGCGGCGGCCGCAGCGGGCGCAAAGGCTACAGCGAAGGCGCCGACTATGGCGTCCTTCAAAGATAGCTCGGAGATAGCGCTCACGAGCGCCCGAGGCACGCCTGGCGTGCGTTGCGGCCGCAGCGCGCGCAAAAGCTACAGCGAAGGCGCCGACTGTGGCGCCCTTCAAAGATAGCTCGGAGATAGCGCTCACGAGCGCCCGAGGCACGCCTGGCGTGGGCGGCGGCCGCAGCGGCCGCAAAGGCTACAGCGAAGGCGCCGACTGTGGCGTCCTTCAAAGATAGCTCGGAGATAGCGCTCACGAGCGCCCGCGGCGCGCCTGGCGTGGGCCGCGGCCGCAGCGGGCGCAAAGGCTACAGCGAAGGCGCCGACTGTGGCGTCCTTCAAAGATAGCTCGGAGATAGCGCTCACGAGCGCCCGAGGCACGCCTGGCGTGGGCGGCGGCCGCAGCGGGCGCAAAGGCTACAGCGAAGGCGTCGACTGTGGCGCCCTTCAAAGATAGCTCGGAGATAGCGCTCACGAGCGCCCGCGGCACGCCTGGCGTGGGCCGCGGCCGCAGCGGGCGCAAAGGCTACACCGACGGCGCCGACTGTGGCGTCCTTCAAAGATAGCTCGGAGATAGCGCTCTCGAGCGCCCGAGGCACGCCTGGCGTGGGTTGCGGCCGCAGCGGCGCAAAGGCTACACCGACGGCGCCGACGGTGGCGTCCTTCAAAGATAGCTCGGAGATAGCGCTCACGAGCGCCCGAGGCACGCCTGGCGTGGGCGGCGGCCGCAGCGGGCGCAAAGGCTACAGCGAAGGCGCCGACGGTGGCGTCCTTCAAGAATAGCTCGGAGGTAGCGCTCACGGGCGCCCGAGGCACGCCTGGCGTGGGGTGCGGCCGCAGCGGGCGCAGAGGCTACAGCGAAGGCGCCGACTGTGGCGTCCTTCAAAGATAGCTCGGAGATAACGCTGACGAGCGCCCGAGGCACGCCCGGCGTGGGCGGCGGCCGCAGCGGCCGCAGAGGCTACAGCGAAGGCGCCGAATGTGGCGTCCTTCAAAGATAGCTCGGAGATAGCGCTCACGAGCGCCCGCGGCACGCCTGGCGTGGGCGGCGGCCGCAGCGGGCGCAAAGGCGACAGCGAAGGCGCCGACTGTGGCGTCCTTCAAAGATAGCTCGGAGATAGCGCTCACGAGCGCCCGAGGCACGCCTGGCGTGGGCGCGGCCGCAGCGGGCGCAAAGGCTACAGCGAAGGCGCCGACTGTGGCGTCCTTCAAAGATAGCTCGGAGATAGCGCTCACGAGCGCCCGAGGCACGCCTGGCGTGGGCGGCGGCCGCAGCGGCGCAAAGGCTACAGCGAAGGCGCCGACTGTGGCGTCCTTCAAAGATAGCTCGGAGATAGCGCTCACGAGCGCCCGAGGCACGCCTGGCGTGGGCGGCGGCCGCAGCGGGCGCAAAGGCTACAGCGAAGGCGCCGACTGTGGCGTCCTTCAAAGATAGCTCGGAGATAGCGCTCACGAGCGCCCGAGGCACGCCTGGCGTGGGCGGCGGCCGCAGCGGGCGCAAAGGCTACACCGAAGGCGCCGACTGTGGCGTCCTTCAAAGATAGCTCGGAGATAGCGCTCACGAGCGCCCGAGACCGCCGGGCGTGGGCCGCGGCCACAGCGGGCGCAAAGGCTACAGCGAAAGCGCCGACTGTGGCGCCCTTCAAAGATAGCTCGGAGATGGCGCTCACGAGCGCCCGAGGCACGCCTGGCGTGGGCGGCGGCCGCAGCGGGCGCAAGGGCTACAGCGAAGGCGCCGACTGTGGCGTCCTTCAAAGATAGCCCGGAGATAGCGCTCACGAGCGCCCGAGCCACGCCCGGCGTGGGCGGCGGCCGCAGCGGCCGCAAAGGCTACAGCGAAGGCGCCGACTGTGGCATCCTTCAAAGATGGCTCGGAGATAGCGCCAACGAGCGCCCGAGGCACGCCTGGCGAGGGCCGCGGCCGCAGCGGGCGCAAAGGCTACAGCGAAGGCGCCGACTGTGGCGCCCTTCAAAGATAGCTCGGAGATAGTGCCCAGAGTGCGCCAGGCGCCGCGCCAGGCGTGGGCCGCGGCCGCAGCGGGCGCGGGGGCGAGGCCCAAGGCGCCGTCTGCGGCGCCCTTCAAAGATAGCTCGGAGATAGTGCCCAGAGTGCGCCAGGCGCCACGCCAGGCGTGGGCCGCGGCCGCAGCGGGCGCGGAGGCGAGGCCGAAGGCGCCGTCTGTGGCGCCCTTCAAAGATAGCTCGGAGATAGCGCCCAGAATGCGCCGGGCGCCAGGCCAGGCGTGGGCCGCGGCCGCAGCGAGCGCGGGGGCGAAGCCGAAGGCGCCGTCTGTGGCGTCCTTCAAAGATAGCTCGGAGATAGCGGGAACCCATGGGATTGCCGCGCCAGCGCCATCGCAGTGCTGCTTTCCAATGCCGAAGGCAAATGCCGGACCCCTGTTGGAACTGCTGCGCCAGCGGCAGCCCAACGGCGAAGCCCCCTGCCGAAGACACAACAGCTGCCTCATCGACGAGGCGAGCTGACGCGCCAGCGCCATGCACCCTGCGCGCGTGCCCGCATGGGCGCGCATTGCCACGGCCGCGACCGCACGCGCGCTTCCCAGCATTCGCACCCCAGTGTCACAACCCAGTGCCGAAGGCAAAACGGCAACGCACGGACATGCTGCGCCAGGGGCAGCCCTGCGCGCGTGCTCACGTGGATGCGCAATGCCACGGCCGCGTCGGCGATCGCCTGCGCGCGCCAACACGAAAGCCCCCCGTGATAGGGGGGTTGGGGGGAGAAACCCTAAACCCTAAAGGGCTTTACTGTGGGTGGTCTGGGGCGGGAGTGCAAGTTCATAGCGCGCGCGGCTTGGGCAGCGATCCCCCCCAACAACCTTGATGTGGGGGGGATCGCAGCCAGCGCGCGCATGCGCCCCTGCAGGCCCTAAACCCTAAACCCTAAATTCCCAAGCACCTCGTTGTGCTTCTGCCCACCCCACCGCGCATCACCGTCGCCGTCTACGAGAGACAGGGCATCTCTGAGATGCTTGAGCATGTAGCCCGAGTGGTTCGCCTTGGCAGCTTTTGCTGCTGCCCTCCCCCTCTTTTGGGGATTCGCGCTTCAATGATAAACCTCCCCTGATCCTCAACGAATATAACACCCTAAACCCAAAGACCTTTTCCTCGAAGCGCCCGGGGGCGCCTGGGGGCGCTTGGGAGCGCCTGGGAGCGCCTGGGAGCGCCTGGGAGCGCCTGGGAGCGCCTGGGAGCGCCTGGGAGCGCCTGGGAGCGCCTGGGAACGCCTGGGAGCGCCTGGGAGCGCCTGGGAGCGCCTGGGAGCGCGTGCGAACGCCTGGGAGCGCCTGGGAGCGCCCGGGAGCGCCTGGGAACGTGCCGGGAGCGCCTGGGAGCGCTTGGGAGCGCTTGGATGCGTCTGGGAGCGCCCGGGAGCGCTTGGGAACGCGCCGGGAACGCCTGGGGAGCTTGGGAGCGCCTGGGAGCGCCTGGGAGCGCCTTGGGATTGCCAGGGAGCGCTTCGGAACGCGCCAGGAGCGCCTGGCAGCGCCGGGGAGCGCATGGGAGCGCTTGACTGAGAGCGCCTAGGAGCGCTTGGGAGCGCTTGGGAGCGCTTGGGAGCGCCTGGGAGCGCTTGGAACGCATTTGGGAATTTAGGGGCCAACGGCCCTAAACCCTAAAAGGCTTTAGTTTGGGAGGTTGCCGGCCATGCGGCCGGGGGTGGGAAGATGTTGCACCTCCTGCCCCCTTCGCCAAGCTTGCTCGGGTCGGCTAACCGCCCCCCCAATCAAGCTTGCCGAAGGGGGGGCAGCATTGCCTGGACTGTCGGCCGCTGCGCTAAGAGAAGCCCTAAACCCTAAACCCTAAACCCTAAACCCTAAACCCTAAACCCTAAACTGCAAGCCACGGGCGGTGCATCGTCAGAAGCCCGTGGCGCCTGGCCGAGCGATCAGCGAGTCCGCCCATGCGCGCACGCCGCACCGACGAAGCGCGTAGCGCTGAGGAGGATGCGCTCCCCCGCGGGGATGCCTCGTGAGTTCTGAGAGATGAATAGAACCCTTAACCCTAGGCCCAGCCAAAGGCTTCGCTACGATTGGTCCCATCCCCTGGGGCTCGAAACCTATGAAAATACAGCATGCGGCGCCCTTTCGGCCGTCCGTGGGGCCGCAAACCATATGAAAATACAGTATGCGGCGTCCTTTCGGCTGGCGCACGTCCCAGGCGCTCCCAAGCGCTCCCAGGCGCTCTCAGGCGCTCCCAGGCGCTCCCAAGCGCTTCCAAGCGCTTCCAAGCGTTCCCAGGCGCTCCCAGGCGCTCCCAGGCGCTCCCAAGCGTTCCCAGGCGCTCCCCAGCGCTCCCAAGCGTTCCCAGGCGCTCCCAGGCGCTCCCCGGCGCTCCCAAGCGTTCCCAAGCGCTCCCCAGCGCTCCCAAGCGTTCCCAAGCGCTCCCAAGCGCTCCCCGGCGCTTTCGGCACGCTCCCAAGCGCTCCCACGCGCATGGCGCCTTCAGGCGCTCTCAGGCGCTCCCGGCACGCTCCCCGGCGCTCCCAGGCGCTCCCTGGCGCTCCCAAGCGCTCCCAGGTACTCCCAAGCGCTCCCTGCACGCTCCCAGTCGCTCCCAGCCTGCTCAGGCGCTCCCTGCTCGCTCCGAAGCGCTCCCTGGCGCCTCCGAGAGCTCCGGGGCGCTCCGAAGCACTCCCAGGCGCTCCGGCGCGCTGCCAGGCGCTCCCGGCACGCTCCCAGCTCCCACAGGTGGTCCCAAGCGCTCCCCAGCGTTCCCAAGCGCGTTTCAGCAGTCCAAGCGGTCCCATGGCGCCCCCAAGCGATTTCATGCAGTCGCAAGCACTCGGCAGCGCTCCCTGGCGGCGCTTCCCGGCGCTCCCCCGCAATGCAGGTGCTGCCGCAGCCATGCGCGCGCATCGTAGCGAGGGGGTGCCAGACCCACCCCCTCGCGCTCCCTCTCCAGCCATGCGACATTCGCGCCGAAGGTGGCTGCGTCGACAATGCAATCGCTTCAGCGGGGGCGACGCCAACGGTCCTGCCCAATGGACAGCCCACGGCCCGCACTCGCGGTGCACTCTGCGTTCGCACGCTCCCAGACGCTCCCGCGTGCTTCCATCCTGGGGAAACCTCGAAGCGCTCTCTCAGCGCTCCCAGAGAGCTCTCCCAAGGCATTCCAAGAAGTCTGCCATGGAGGTGCTGCAGCAGCCATGCACGCGCATCGTAGCGAGGGGGTGCCAGACCCACCCCCTCGCGCTCCCCCTTCCAGCCATGCGAAATTCGCGCCGAAGGCGGCTGCGTCGACAATGCAATCGCTTCAGCGGGGGCGACGCCAACGGTCAAGCCCAACGGGCAATTCACGGCTCGCGCTCGCGGTGCACTCTGCGTGTCCTGTCGCGCTCCCAGACGCTCCCACGTGCTTCCATCCTGGGGAAAGGTCGAGGCGCTCCCCCAGCGCTCCCAGGGAGCTCCCCCAAGGCATTCCAGGGGGTCTGCCATGGACGTGCTGCCGCAGCCATGCGCGCGCATCGTAGCGAGGGGGTGCCAGACCCACCCCCTCGCGCTCCCCCCCCCGCCTTCCGAAGCTAGCGTCGACAGCGTCTGCGTCGATGATTGCAATCGCTTCAGCGGGGGCGACCTCAAAGCAAAACACAAAGCCGCGGGCGAATGCAACTGCCGTGCGCGTCGCCGTCAGCGAGGGGCCCGACGGCGCGGCTACTCGCTCGAGGCCCACGGGGGCCCATGGGGTTGCCGCGCCAGCGCTCTCGCAGTGCTGCTTTCCAACGCCGAAGGCAAATGCGGACCCCTGTGGATGCGCTGCGCCAGCGGCAGCCGTCCACGACGGCGGCTGCAAGGGCAGCCAGGCCAACGGCAAAAGCCAATGCAGGGGCCCTACTGGAACCAGGGGCAATGCTGCGTCTGCGACAGGCCAACGCCGTAACTCAAAACCTAATGCGGCGACGCCTGGCCTTGAGGCCTCTCCTGTGCCTTCTGATGGCAATGAACACCCGCAGGAGAAGAATCCGTCCTTCGGCAAAGCCATGCGCCAACTGGGAGCCAGCCGAATGCAGCTAAACCCACGGCAAAAAAGTATTGGCCATGCGACGACGCTGGCGTCTGCGCCTGCGCAAAGCGCTTTGCGCGCGTACCAAGGCTCGCGCTCGCGGTGCACTCTGCGTGTCCTTTCGCGCTCCCAGACGCTCCCACGTGCTTCCAGCGCCCCCAGACGCTCCCACGTGCTTCCATCCTGGGGAAAGGTCGAGGCGCTCCCCCAGCGCTCCCAGGGAGCTCCCCCAAGGCATTCCAGGGGGTCTGCGATGGACGTGCTGCCGCAGCCATGCGCGCGCATCGTAGCGAGGGGGTGCCAGACCCACCCCCTCGCGCTCCTCCCCCCGCCTTCCGAAGCTCGCGTCGACAGCGTCTGCGTCGATGATTGCAATCGCTTCAGCGCGGGCGACCTCAAAGCAAAACCCAAAGCCGCGGGCGAATACAACTGCCGCGCGCGTCGCCTTCAGCGAGGAGCCCGACGGCGCGGCTACTCGCTCGAGGCCCACGGGGGCCCATGGGATTGCCGCGCCAGCGCCCTCGCAGTGCTGCTTTCCAACGCCGAAGGCAAATGCGGACCCCTGTGGATCTGCTGCGCCAGCAGCAGCCGTCTACGACGGCGGCTGCAGGGGCAGCCAGGCCAACGGCAAAAGCCAAGGGCCTACTGGAACCAGGGGCAATGCTGCGTCTGCGACAGGCCAACGCCGTAACTCAAAACCTCATGCGGCGACGCCTGGCCTTGAGGCCTCTCCTGCGCCTTCTGATTGCAATGCACACCCGCAGGAGAAGAATCCGTCCTTCGGCAAAGCCATGCGCCAACTGGGAGCCAGCCGAATGCAGCTAAACCCACGGCAAAGATTGTTGGCCATGCGACGACGCTGGCTCTTGCGCCTGCGCAAAGCGCTTTGCGCGCGTACCAAGAACGCAATGCCAAAACCGCGTTGTCGTGCTCCCCGCGGAATGCTCGCATTCGCACACAACACGAAAGCCCCCCGTGATAGGGGGGTTGGGGGGAGAAACCCTAAACCCTAAAGGGCTTTACTGTGGGTGGTCTGGGGCGGGAGTGCAAGTTCATAGCGCGCGCGGCTTGGGCAGCGATCCCCCCCAACAACCTTGATGTGGGGGGGATCGCAGCCAGCGCGCGCATGCGCCCCTGCAGGCCATAAACCCTAAACCCTAAACTGCAGGCGCGGACCTGGGGGCGCGCACCGCCACGCCTGTAAGGATCTGCTAGTGAGAGCGAGCTGCAAGTCGAGCTCACCGCGACCTTAGGCCTGCCGGCCCGAGGCGGTGCTTCG